ATTAAAAGAACACTGAGATTCCATCTTATTCCAGAAAGAACGGTGTTATGGTTTGTGTCTAGTTGTCCCCCCAAAACCTCATACAGTCATGGGGCAGCTTCTGGAGTTTGTTTCATGATCCAGTGCTGGGACTATGCGTGTGAGTGCCTTCGGGCAGATACTCTGCTTACACATGTAAGAGGCGAGCTAGCTGGGGGCAGGGCTGCAGCCCATCCCTTTGCTCTTTGCTGTCTTTTGGCCACCATGAACTACTGCTGTCTTCCATGTGCCGTTGGAGTCAGCTGAGTATGGACTGAAACCTCCACAAACTGTGAGCTAAATAATCCTTTCCTTCCTCAATTCTGGATGTTGGGTATTTTGTTCCAGCAATGAGAGACAAGAAACAAAGAAAAGTGACAATCCTTAAGAAAGCAAATAACAAATTCTGGAGCTGCCAAGTAGAAAAAGTAATCATTACACATTGATGGTGGGAATGTAGACTAGTACACTCACTGTGGAAATCAGTATGGAGATTTTCAAAGAAGGTGAAATAGAAATTCCTTTCACACCCAACCCAAAAAATCACGTGAACCCAAACTGGTATCAAACAGTTTTATTAAATGTCAGTTGACACCCATGTGTTGCGAATATAATCTGTGAACTAAGGGAATTAAATCAGATGATCTTTAGGGTTCTCTCTTGTTGTAATAGTTTATGATTGCACTTACGTGCTAGACAAGTTCTTTCTGCTGCTCTAGGGCTGCTAAGTATTTCCTTCTCATCTTCACACATTTTTTTTAATTTTTATTTATTTATTTATGTGTGTGTGGCCAGCTCAGCCCACCAGGGGGCGTGGCTGGCTGGCATGTGGTGCTGGGGGATTGAACCACGGTCCCTGTGCTTTGCTAAGTTTGTTCTAAGTAGGTGCTCCAGACCACTGAGCCATCTCACCAGCCCCCTTCACACATTTTTGTTAGGAAACCTCCCTCAAGGTTTGCTGCCCTGGCACAGATCCTCGTGGACCCTGACTGGGCTGATGGCCTCTGTCCTGAGCTTGGGATCGGGGTTCTGGTATTCCAGGCCCCCCTTGACTGCACACACTGGGAGGTGACACAGGCTTGTGGTGGCTACTTTTTCACCCTGTGCTAGTGAAGCAGCAAGAACAACCACATAGAGTGAGGAGAGACTCAGAGAGGCAGAGTCAGGACCCTGCATCCCATGGGGTCCCTGTGGAAGCTGGAAGGTGGGTCTCCAAAGAGTCTTGCCCCTGGCCCAGGGTTTCTACCTGTTCTGGCTATGTATTCTGACCTCAGGGCCTTCAAAGATGTCCCTTGTCCTTTCCACAACCCTGTACTTGTGTTTGTTCAAACTTGCTTGAGTACGGCTGTTCCTTGCTACCAACCCCCATGATGCAGGTGTCCCATGCTCCTGGGGACACTGCAGCATGGTGAACAGCATATGGCTTTTGTGTTAGGAGAGCTGTTCTGTAACCTCTGACTGGCAGTGTTTTCCTAGGGTGATCTGGGCACTGCAGGGCAATCAGCCAAAGTAAGGAACACACTGGAAAGCAGGACGCCTGTGGAGATGCTAAGAGATGGCGAGGAGCCTACTGGGCAACACGCTGGCTGTGCAAAGTCCTTGTCCACAGCCTGGCTCCAGCGTGCAGGTAGAACATGGAGGGGAGAACACGTGCTCCGGGGCTGTGCAGGCTGTGCGGAGGCACACAAGCCTCGGGGACACTCACATCAGCTGGTAGCCAGCATCTCCATGCCCAGAGCAGCAGGCCCAGAGTGAACGGCTGCCCCGGCATGGAGGGCACTCAGCTGTGCCTGGCATGATGCTGGCCACCGCAGCTCCTGCTGAGCCTCGTCCCTGTTGCTCCTGACATTGTAGATGTTGGGGGGCAGTGCCAGCTTTCCTGTCTGCCAGGCAGAACTTGCAAAGAACTCACTTAAGGCAAAGTGCAGTCAAGTATTAGAAAAAAGTTAAATGAGTTCAGGTGGCTGCTCCTGGGTGTGTGAGAGGGGCAGACGGGCGGGCCAGCAGGGCGTCCTTTCACTGCAAGCTTTTTTACTACCCTGTCTTTGAAAACTATATCCATGCCTTACTGAGACATAAACATTCACTGTAATACCCAGATCGCTGTCATAAAATAGTGTCCATTATATTGTAATGCCAGCCTAGATTTTCTCTCCTGTGTTACTGACACAAATCTCATGATCTCATTCCATTTACTCTCTATGTTTTAATAGCAGATACGTATGCTGTAATTTATTTCATTTGAAAGCAGTCATTTTTTTTCACTTCTTAAAATTGAATTCTTGCTATGTGCTAGGCATTTCTACATAAAAGAAGTGTGTGTTACCCTATACTTTGTTCTGTATTGGCTAATTGTTAGGTAATAAGCACAGTACTTGGTGTTGGCAATTTTGAAGATAGACAGATTCTAAAGAAATTTTAAGCTGGGTTGGTGGTGCACACATGTAGTGCGAGCACTCCAGGAGGCTGTGGCAGGAGGATCACAAGTTCAAGCTAGGCAACTCCGGGTGACTTAGTGAGACATCTCCCTGGCGAAAAGCAAACAAACGGGCTGGGCATGTGCTTCACTGTAGAAATCCTGAATTCCATCCTCAGAACCATAACCAAAGTAACCAGAACAACACTTTAAAAATGTTCTAAGCCCAAACAGATCTCTGTGTCAGTCTTTAAAATGTGCATGGCCCTCCCGTTGCTTTGTCTGGGCCCTTAGGTGGATTGAAAGCAGAGGGTTAGCTGAAGCTTAAGAAACGGCCCTTCTGAGCAGTGTTTACCCATTTAACTTGTTGGTCACTTAGCAATGTGTCCTCCAAGGTAGATACAGTAAATGGGGTGGTCTTTAGCTCCAAGAAATACAAATTCTTGGGGATATTTTTAAAGGGGGAGATATGTTTAATTGTTGCATTAAAAGGATTTATTACTCCCTTGGCTTACTGGCTGCCACATCCCTTGAGATAGTAAAGATTTGGCAAAACTTGTTTTGTGGAGCATGTACTCCAGAACTCCCTGCCCTCTGTCAAAACACACCCAGCGCACTGTCAAAAGATAGTGTTCACCTGTCCTTAGTGTGTGTCCTCCTAGTTTGAATAGTCTCTGGATTACTCATAATTGCTAGCACTACAGAAATGCTGTGTGATGCCTGTTATAGCTTAGGGACTAATGATGAAGTGATGTGTGTGTTCCGACAGGTCTCCTCAGTTTTGTCCGGTTCTGGGTTGCGTCCTTGGCCACAGCCTCAGGGATAGGGAGGTCTGGCTGTCTACCATTTCCACATAGCTTTTCAGGGTGACACTTACAGCCTCAGTTTTCTTTTCTTCCTGCTTCCCCCACCTCTGAGGGCTCCACAGCCTCCCATCGCATCTGTCAGGCGGGAGGGCTCCCTGGAGCAGCAAGGGGTGATATGCATGTGGGCTTGGGGCCGTGTGGGCTAAGTGGCCTTGTGGTGGTGTTAGCAAGGCAGGCACCAGTCAGCTGCGGGAGCCCAGGCTGGGGAGGCAGCGCCATCGGACGGGTGTGGTGTCGGGCTGTGGCTGGCAGGGGCAGGCAGCACGCAGGCTGTCAGCTGTGAGTGCCACACTGGCTGGGCCTTGTTGTGGCTGGGGGCTAATCCTGCCCAGAGATGGATATGGTGAGACAAACAGCAGGAAAGACACAGGCACACAGGGTGGAGAGTAGCCCACACCTCCCTCCAAAGAGGAAAAGGCCAACGAGCAGAAGAAGGGATTAGCTTTTGCCTTTCCAAGCCACCACAAGCCCTAGGCTAGTAACTCCACTCCCGTAATGCCAAACCACCTTTGGTTGGAGAGGTCCCCAGTCCACAAGCACCATGTGGCCATGGGCCAGTCAATTAATGTGTATGGAGGTGTCTCCTCCTGGAGGAGGTGGGGAGTTATCCCCTCAATAGTGTTCTTGGTATTTTGTACTGTGCTGCTTCCTGAATGTGATAAAGTTAATGAATGAGGCAGTGTAGGATGTTAACAGTGATGGACTGGTTTTAGCAATGTCCTATAGTGTAAGTTTGGTAAATGTGGTCTCTCAAAACAGCCTGCACTATATTCACCCCTCTTGGGGTCACCCAAGGTGACACAAGGCCTACACAATGGCCTGAGATAAGGAGGATGGCATGGCCTGTGAAGCAGTGCTAGGCCATGACCTGCTGACCCTTTGTCAGAAGGACTGTCATCAAGCCATGAGGACCACGTTGTACATGAAGCAACTATGGAGGTTTGGTGACAGGAAGTTCGTGTGCTCCAGTGGGAAGCTATATGGTCTCGTTCCTCATGCTAGTCGGTGATGTCAGTGGTGGCCATGACTAAAGGTTCTGGATGCTGAGCATTTTGGCATCCTTTGACATGCTGTCTCCGGTAGTCCTCACAAGAGCCCCAGGAGTCTGTTACTTCTGTGATCCAGGAAGAGGCCATGAGTCATCTTTCTCCTCAAGTTAAGCTATGCTCAATGCTTGATTGGGCTAGGAGCTCTGTCTAACTCAGCCTTGTCCCTTTTCCTCTTTTACCATGATTCCCCTCCTAGTAGAGATGAGACCACTTGTCCACCTAGCAAGAGGCAAAGCTTGGTTTGTGCCCATTTGTGGAGCTCCAAAGCCTGCTACCTTCTTTGCATGCACATGTGTGTCACACGCACATGCACACACACACACACACACGTGGCTTTTGTAGGTGAACACAGCAAGCTCTGGTAGACAGATGTGGGCAGGGAGGGTCTTCTGGATGGCTTGGCACCAAAGGGCTGTGTCTGTGTGCCCGGTCCAACACCTCAGTAGCCTCCATGAGCAGCTGAATGGATGGTTTAAGTTGTGACTGGCAGGGCTGAGTACTGCTAGAGCTGCGCTTTCCACATGTCTAGAAATGTACTTGACAGTGAACAGACATCACAGGGAAGGGGCGTGCTGTATTTTTAATTATTTAAAAATCTTTCTTGGTAGAACTTAGTTATCTTTTACTTAAATAAACAGCTCCCAACTAGAAGCAGATACACAAAAACTTTTATTGTGGAAGTTAGACTTACTTCATGGTAATTAACCAGCTACAAGTGCATTTAAATTCATGTGTGTGGACAGCGCAGAAGTCAGGATGGTCTTATCGAAAGTCCTGCGTGCTGGCATGGTTCGTGCCAGTACCAGCCAAGGTAGAACCATACACAAAGGAAGTACAGGTCAACGATGATGTCAGACTAGATTGGCAACACCACAGTCATTGTTACAGCTAAGCATTACAGAACATGAAAGTCCAAAGACCAGAAGACTATTACTAACGCGATTCTTACTATCAGCCTCTCCTTCTACCTAAATGCTTCCGGAGGAGCAACGCAGCGCTGCCTCCACTGGGGGGCAGGGGACAGGGCCTCTTCTGTATTTTATACTCAAATGGGCCGCAGACATTGTAAACATTCAGTGGTCTTTCCGATACCCATTTCAGGTCGATGCCAGCTGTCCCCTCGGGAAAGTGCAGTTTAACTGGTGTGAACATTTTCTCTGGTAAATCTTCAATGCTGAAAATTTCCTTTTGTTCCAATTAGCACCAGTTTAGTTTAAAATATATATATTTTTCCTGCTGTTAAATATGTAGGAAACATTTTGTAAAACTAACACACAGAGTCCAAAACAGTGGAAAGCAAAAGACATTCAAAAAATTGTCTTAGAGAACAGCATTTAGAAAAACAACATCATTTAAACATTCAACAAATCTATATACAGGGTGCCAAAGGCTGGCCACGGCCAAGGCTGCTGAACAGTCACGGAAGAGGTTGATTAACCTGAACCCCACAGGCTGTATGTACAGTCAGAAAAGTATTCCGAAGTGGAGTATCAGAACATCCAGATTTGGCTAAAAATCATATAAAAAGACAGATCGCCCCTCCCAAACTAACTTCTAACTAGGTAACAAACATACCTAAGTGTGGTCCTAAGTACCAGGTTTACAAGTGCGTTTTCTGTATTTTACAGACAGTTGAAGTTTCTCAACAGACAGAAGAGAACCAGAATGGCAGAGATAGGGAGTTATTTCCATGTTGTCAGATGAAGAAAAAATTTTTAAGTGCCAAGTAATGTAGTAAAGCACTGATTAAGGAGCAAAGAAATTGTCAGGGGAAAAAGGTTTCATAAAAACACAAAATCAGCAAAGGGGCGAAATGTGTCTTTTATATAAATTTCAGATTACAAGTATTTTTATGTAACTTTGAAAAAATATGATTTGCTTTTTCAAACAGTATTTTGACCATAAAAATCATATGATCCAAACTTTATGTAGAACTTTTTTTTCTCAAATTGAGAAATACACACAAACGACAAGACCTATGCCATCTCTCTCCAGTGCAGCGCTCTGTAGTGTCGCTTGCTTGTTAGCCCGGTGTTACTACAATATCTGCCTCTAAGGAACTGGGCACATTTTCTAAGAGGCAGCATTTCTCACGTATGCTTAAGTAAAATACAAACTATTTCCCATTTGTTCACTTCGACAGCTAAGTTGTTTAGAGCCCGGGGCTTTGGAGGGAAGATTCAATGTGCTGTCTTGAACACAAGCAGAAGGGCATTGTGGCATCCCACATCCCCACAAGGATATGACTTCAAGTGTAGGTTGAATAATTTGCAGTTGTGGTAAGTCTCTATGAAAAAATTTTACTTGGATTCAATACAAAATACATTACCTCTTTGAAAATGCATAGTTTATAATTTTATACATTCATTCACTAATATTAAAAACTTTCATAAGCAAGCACTTGCCCTCCAAATGGTGGCAAGACTGTACTTCAAAATCTCAAAACACTGGACAGCATTGCCACATCACTGCCGGGTTAGTGCCCGTGCGTGCTAATGCCTGTCACTTCAGCACCAGTGTCCTGCAGAAGGGACGGATCCCTCCTCAGTCTGCCTCTGTGGTGTATGCACTACTCATTCAGCAGGCACTAGTAAAGCAATGCTGTTCCTACTGGTAGCATTTCTACTGACTACCCCACTTTAAATATTCAGTAAATTCTTTTTAATGTTGTAGATTTGGTGTAGAAAACAACTTGAAAGATGGCTTAATTTTTAAAAGCAGTTTTCTTAAACCTTACCCTGGACTAAGGGCAACAGAAGCTTCATGATTCCTGTTGTTCTCTCTCCCCTCAGTCCCCTTGCTCGAAAGAAACAACCAGGCCACTCGGAAGTGGTATTGGATGATAGTCTTTGAACCCTTTGGGACCTAGCGAGTTTTCCCTTATCCTGAGTTGTTCTTTTTAAGTATATAGGATTTTGTTATATGAAACACTTTGGAAACTATACTAGGGTCTGGTTATTCCAGAGAATATTTGTTTAAGTGGCTGACCACTGTCTAACCATTAATTACAAAAATAGGAATTTTAGGGTGTATTATAGGAAAATATGGATTAGTGGTGTATATATGTATTATATATATATATATATATATGATCCACATTCCTGAGTTTACACCCAGGACATTTTCAGTATTGATGGCATGAAACTAGTAATTCTGGGGTTGAATTTTTTCTTATAAAACCTAAATCTATTCTAAAGCTTTCTACCAGTGTTCAAGGAGTTTCTGTCGGGGAGCTGTGAAGGAGGGCTTTGCCATGTCACAGGGCTTGGTCAAGGAATAGCCATTGAGTTCCAGTAAGTGGGGGGGGGGGCAGTAAAACAAGGATTTGTAATTTGCAAGTTATGTGTCACTTCCTCCCTTTGGGGGTGGGGTGGGTGGTTCAATGTGAAGTGGCCGCTGTTGATCCCTGAGGGCAATTCAGGCTCTTGACAGGAGCAGCTGCAGGCCCTAGAGCTCCACTTTGTCCCTTTCTGTCTCAGCTCTCTGGGGCAGAAGCGCAGGCAGTGCTGCACCACAGTGAGCAGAGGGCTCCCCAAGAGGAGCAGACAGGAGTCATTTTCTCTTTCCTTAAATAACATTAAAACAATTCTACTCTGAAGGAGCTACTTTTCCCACAGTAAAGGCCAGTTCTGTTTCTGGGTGCTGTAATTGTGGACAGAGGTCAGAGCCCACAGCAATGACACGGGAAGCCTTCTGCTCTGCTGGGGCTGTGGGGGGGGGGTGGATCTCGCCTCCGGGCCTGGGATCTGCTCATTCCCACTGTGGTGCCTGTGGGGGGGCTTGGAGGTGTGGACCTTGTCACTCTACCACTGAGTCCGAGCAGGATTCTTATGTGTATGGCAGGTCGTGAGACAACTGAGAACCTTAAGATCCCCTGAACTGTTCAGACAGTTGGTAATGCTTCACCTGCAGGGAGCGGGAAGCCACACTAGCTAGGCCCAGTGTACCTCTCCCAGGACCATGTATCATTCTGGCCTTACTGTAAGGGACAGCAATCAGCAGGAAAAGAAGCCCCACCCATCCGTGGCTTTGGAAATGAAGAAGTGTAAGAGTGGCCTGGCTTTTGGCTGGAGAAGATGAAGCCATGAAGGGAGAGGAACAGGTAGTTGCCAAGATGGTGGCGTGCAAGGTGGGATGGGGACTCTTCTTTGCTTTCTCTCTTAAAGCTTGCTTTCTTCTTAAGGGCTGATTGTCCTCATTAGGGACACAGAGAGCATTCAGGAGCAAATGGACCAGCACTCTGTCCCAAAGGGAAGTCAGCTCTCCTGCCTTTCTCAGGAGTTGCCACTTTGTACTTTGGCTAATTTTTTGAATTACAAATTTAGAGAACTGACCATGGCAAGAAAATGCGAGAAACCCAGAAATTACTATTTAGCATTCTCGTAATATAAGCAGAGGGCATTTTCTCTCTGGAAGTTGGTAACTGCGTGGATGGTACCAAACACGAACACCATTTTAAAGAACAAGGACCGCCGTGGATTCATAATCTGCGCCTCCCTTCAGAAGCTATAGCAAGGTGACATTGGAGGCCCAGCCTTCTTCTTGTTCCTTGGCGCTTGGCTCCTTGTTTGTCCCCATCACAGTGTTGGTGATAACCGGGTGACTCTTCCATCGGGGAAGGGAGTGCCAGGCCATTTCGTCTGCCAGAACTGCGAGCTCATACTAAAGGCATCATTCAGTGAAGAGTATGTCAATAAAATAGTGACAGGCCCATGTGGCTTTTTGAGGCACCTTCTAACTCTGACAAACTCTATATTGGTAATTTTACGATAAATTCAAGTTAGTAAGCCTGGTGAGCTAAGGGGAGAAGTTGTTTATTCATGTATTAGATAACATTTTAGTCATTCACAATGAAAGAAATCTCAGGCATTTGTCACCATTGTTTAAGTTACATTAAAATTTATACTCGACTATCACCAGGCACTTCCAACTTGGAATTTATGGTGCTATTTGATTTGATCACTGCAAATTATAACCTGGTTATATTTTTGGGTGTCAAATGAAGTTTATAGAAATACAAATTGTGGGAACGCTAGTAGCAAAATGTAATTTTCTCAGGGAGTCAAAACTTTTACTCAGGATACTGCTTTCGTGAGCAGGGTCCAGAAATCAGCCGCTCACGGGGCTGGGCACGGAGCTGTCACATGGGATGATTAAGTCTGCACCAAGCAGCGAGAGTGGGTGGGTGCGCTGAGAACTCCGGGTGCTGCAGGCTCGGTCTTCCCAGGCCTGCAGCTGTCCCGCAGGACTGCGGTCTGAGCAGCCCTTTCACAAGCCCGCTTCCGCCCTTCACTTTGTGGGCAGTGAAGAGGCTACTTCCGAGGGTCGGGAGGACTTGGAGAGCCTTGGAGGTGGTGGGCATGGTGATCTTCAGGGTTGCTGCTCTATACTGGGCTCTTCTAAGAAATAAAATGAGATAGTGTATCTCAAAAGAGAAGACTTTCTCTCATAGGATCATCCTAATGTTACCAGGACTCCAGTGTAAGATAGTTTAAAATACTGCCTTTGCATCAAGCAATGCCTGCTCACATTTTTAGTGATATATTCTCACTTTGCTTTTGACTCCAAAGATACTATGATTTCCTGTGTAGAAAACCCACATTCAGGTAGTGGACACTGTGGACATCTAAGTGCCTGTGTCTGGGAAGCCAGGGCTTTGCTGGTGGGTAGGTGAAGGGGCAGTCGCAGTTCACCGGAGCAGGATGATTCCCGAAGGAGGGTGGGGAGGGTGGCAGAAGGCCTTGGCACAGGTGGCATCGGGTGCTACCTTAAAACCTCAGGGGTCCCAGCTGTCATCTCTTTGCCAGCCTCTCGTCATAGTGGTCACAGCAGCGAGCAGGCATGAGAACAAGGGTCACAGTTACTCGATGTCATGGTCACCTCCCAGGGTTGCCTGTGGCCAGCACTCTCTAGAGCTGGCCAGTGGCTCTGAGCATGTGGATCAGAGGCAAAGCTGGCCTAAAGCTGTGATTTCTTAGAAGTATTGTATAAGATTAACTTATGGGTTGAAATGACTGGTTTCTCCTTTTTCAATTGTCCCGAGAGTGTCACTGTGTGTGTGTGTGTGTGGGGCACTGAGGAAGGAACTGGACCCGATAGCCAGGGAGGGAAAATCGTTCTCTTTGACCTGCAGTGTTGGCTGAAAATACGAGGTGGTTGTCAAGTCTGTGTTTCCAAGTGAGAACCAGCAGCCCTGGGGTTCCTTCCCCACAGATGCGTGCTGGGGTACAGTATGTCTCACCCATCTCTAGGGTCCTCCTTTTGCCAGACGTGCGTGGGTCATTTCCAGACTCTCCTTGCCTTTCTGAGGCCTCGAGATCTGTAGCCTCTGCTCTGCACCACTAGGAAGCTTCTACTTAAAGATGTGATAGGCTCACTGGGCTGAAAACTACACAGCGATGAACGCTTCTTGGGACCCCAGCTGCTAACTATGGCGACATCTCAAGGAGATGATGCAGGAGTGCTTGCCTCACCTCAGAGATGGGGGGGGGTGTTGGGGTGAGGGTGGGTCTAGGCTGCCGAGTTTCCCCCTAGGTCCTGCTTTTCCAGGCCTGTATGTACAGGTTTGAAAGCCCTACTTGAAACCAAGTCAGGGCGACCTTCTGACTGGGAGTCCCCAGTGGGTAAGCTGGCTTGTCTATCTCAGCTGTCTTTCTGATAGCCTTGGTATTCCTGGCTGGTGAGACTAGCTTTGACTCACTGGAATCCTGAAAAGATACTTTGTCGTAACAGTGAGTGGGCTTGAAAAAATGGTACAGTATTATGAAATGGTTTTGGCAAAGCTCAGAATTGCTTGTGCAGTGACTACACTGTCAGCAGCTCCTCTCCGATTCTGCACTCGTGGAAATATGTTCTGCTCACGACCTTGTGTGCCGTGAGTTCTTCACAGTGAAGGAAATCAAGCGTGTGTCCCAATGTAGAAGTTAAAAGTGCCTTGTGAATGCCAAGGGCAAGCTCCTTCTAACGCTACTGCTCTCCTACTTCTGTTTTTTGGGTGTAGATCCTATGATTTCAGAAAAACGCAATGTGTGCGCTAGTTACATACAGGTTTGTGGTTCTGATAGGTTTAGGGGAAAACTTATAAGGAATTTATCATTTTATACTAAAGAATTTATAAGAATATTTCTCCCGTGGCCTACAAGCATTTCTGCTAAATCTTTCCTTTAAAATATATATAATGAAATGTTTTGAAAACATAGTGGTGGTGACGAAGGAGTGGCTGCTGCCATCCTGATTCTCTTGTCAGTAACCATCCTGTTGGATCTGCCTTTTCCCCTTGCTGCAGAGGGTTCACTGAAAAGATATGCATCAAAACATTTGCTTAAAAGAGGCATAGCCCTTTGTTGGTGAGCAGGAATTGTGTATAGCGTTAACACTTCCTGTCTGGTAAAACACCGTATTTTAAAAAATAAGCTACAATGTATAAAACCAAGGTCATTTCCCACAAAATGTTCGTGTTCTTTGTGATTACAAAACACTGCATCTTGTAAAATATTTCCAGTTCTGCTAACTTGAGAAGTTGAGTACTAACGCTTAGTATAAAAGTGTCATGTCTCCTGGAATTACAGAAGCCTAAGCAGTATATGTCATTTGGAAAATTATTATTGTAGTTAAGATTACATTTTTGCCACAAGACGTTACCATTGTGATTCTCAGACCTATACAACCAAAGCTATAAAACAAGAGATTGTCTTCAAAAAAAGGAACTATTTACAAAAGAGGACCAGAGGTAAAATTCCCATTTTGATTCTTGGTCCTATAATAGATACACCATTTAAAGCATGTATATCATTGGATATAGGCTTTTTAAAAGTCAGCCATAATAAGCAAACCACTCGGTCTTAAATACATTTTATACTTTCTCTGTTGATGTGCATTACTAGGCAACATAGCTGATACCTAAAAGTGCGAATCTCATTTTATTTACCGACTCCGGGTTTGGCTAGTTACAATGCAAAAAGGACAGAACAAAACAGGTTCAATGTGGAGGAATCTCCACAGGTAGAGGAACAGGGAGAGTTTGTGTGCCGCTGGTAGGGTTCTTTTCTTAGATAAATGAAATTTCCAGTTGACCCGTGTGCACAGCCTTTCTCCAAAATTATCCACGTTCTCATTCATGAGGCCTGCTGTTTCCACTCATTTGTATGCTCAAAATCTTCCCTGTGTTCACACAGGTCATTGCTACAGCTGATGTGGTTGATAGAAATCCTACAGGGTTGTGAGAAAAAGCAGCACCTTGTCCATAGAAGTCCGCAGCAGTTTGCTCCTTAACATGCTAGTAAAGCAAACTGCACATCTTTAACGGCTTGCTTTCACCTACAGAATTCTGCTTAGAGCTAAGAAACAGCCACCCAAACCGGGTGATTATAAAAAGGAATGGCAAGGCTTCGTACTCACAATTACATTCAGAAAAAGCCTTACGGAGTCTATGAACACCCACCAGGCTCTGTGCCTGGGTTCAGATGTCAGCCTCAGAGTGCAGACAGCGATGAGAGACAGCCCTTCTGTGGGGCACTCCCCTCACGGCTCACAAAGGCGGTACTGTCCGGTTCACGGAAACACGTTTTGAAAGGGTACTGTTTTCACATGAAAAAAGCTGTTCTGACTAGAAAAGACTTTAGTGATAATAAAAATTCTTCCTAGACTTCGGATTCTCTAGACCTATTTTCACATAGCCTTTATGTTTCCCTGAGGAAATAATATTTACAGTATTTTGCTACTATTCTCAAGGTGTTTTATATGTACAGTTCTTGCCCCTTTCCTGGAGCCTTCTCAGGTGATGCTGCACTTTGTTTTCCAGCAGTCTGATGGGGGGTGGGAGGTTGGGGGGGGCGTGGACCTCAGCAGTGCTGGCTGAGTCGGATCACAGGGCTGTGTGCAGAGGGTGGTGTAGCACGTCACCAGAGCTGGCCCACTTCAGCTCAGATGGTCCTGACATTTAATGGAGCACATTTCAGATTTGTTTTTTTTGCAACATACACATGACTTTCTCCAAAAAGTCCAAGTGTCATCTCTACTGAAAATTTGCATCTGTAGCCTGCTTCTGCCTAGGCAGCAGCTGTCTAATAAAGGGCACCTTGCTTGCACGTGGAGCTGCTGACAGGTGCTTTGCACAGTCCTGGTCAGAAGTCCCCCACTCTGTATGGCCATAACCCCAGTACTTGGGAGGCCAAGCCAGCCTGAACTACATAGCAAGACCCTATCTTAAAGAAAAAAAACAACAACAACAAAAACAAAAAACCTCAGCATTATTTTCTTCCTGCCACTGGCTTTTGCCAACCACGGGATGAAACTTTACAGCATGTGAGGTGGGGACAAGCCCAGGTCTGCCAGACATGGCCTGGCAGCTGTGCAGGCCCAGCTGCTGCTGGCCCCGAAAGATGAGCAGGAGCCAGATGAGCGCAGCGCCTTGCCTCTCCTCCCTGACGGTCACCACCTGGGATGGCTCCAGGTTGTCTCCTGCTTGCCACATGTTGTGGTCCAGACTCTGGGAAGACTAAGGCCTGACACTTTGCCTGCTGAGCGTGCTTCACTTTGTAGCTAGCTGGAGTGTGGCCTGTGTGGCACTGGGAAGTACCCTCTTTGCAGAGAAACAAGAAACTGGTACGAAAGCAGGGGCATCAAGAGTAAAAACAAACCTGGAACATTTTTTCACTGGGCCAGAACCCATTGTGGTGCCACTGCTTTTGCACAGACAGGCCTCTGAGCACCCTGGCACGGACGGGGCTCCAGTTCAGTGGCTAGCTTGCCTGGGGATGGCTAACCCCCACCAAGCGTAGAGAGTAAAAGTACTTGGTGCCACAGAGATGGCAGAAAGTGAAAGTCTGGCTTCATTTGGCACTTCATTTGGTTCCAAAAATTAAAAAAAGAAAAAAAACTACTTTAAAAATTAACTTGTATAACTAGTAGCTGTGTATTGCAGTTCAGAGCTCATGGTGTAGCCTGTTAGAAGTATAACTCCTTTTTTTCAAGGCTAGTCAGGAGTGGCATGGTGGCTGCAACTGTAGGAAGGGACGAAGAGTCTGTCCACAACTGGCAGCCAGAAAAGAAGGTCCCCAGAGCCCGGGCTGGTCAGTAAATGCAGCACCCACTAGGCAGGAGGTGAAGAATCTGTTTGCAAAGTCCTTAGGAAAAAGTCCCCAGGAAGCCACATGCAGCTTGACACTTCCTGTTTCCACCCAGGCAGGCTGACAACCAGGGCTTAGGGTGGATGGACCTGGGCTCAGCGCGGTCTTAGCTCAGAGCTGCTCCTGGGCTGCATTTCTGGTGTGACTGCCACTAAGCCTTGCTCCACAGCGAAGCCTTCTCCTGCTACCCCTTTTGTGACTTAATCCAAGGATTGAAGGCCAGGAGCTTCGCCGGGCAGAGAAACTTCTGGTGCAGGGCCGCAGCCTGACTGCTGTCAGGTAAGTACAGTCGGTGATGAGCTTGATGGAGCAGGCCTTCCTGGGCAGGCTGCTCACCCTAGGGCCTCCTGACCAGGGCACAGGGTCATGTCACAGCAGCAGTGCTGCGGGCAAAGCAATAGGACACTGAGAAAAGATGCCGCAGCACAAAGAAAGCGAACACATCTCTACATTTGAGAAACACTGAGTCTGGCTTCACAAGTGCCAGGACAGCTAGCACACCTGGTGTGGCTAATATTACTTAGTAACTTTGATATGAATTTGGATGAAACTTTTTTCTCTTTTTAAAAAAATAAATGAAGGAAAAGACCAGGATCTCTTCCAAGGAATAATTTTTAGAAAGTCATATGAGCGTGTAAAAAATAAAATTGCCAAAATATATGAATACACAAATTATGAATGCTGCACTATAGAACCTCCTTATGTACTCTTGCTTATATTAGAAAAGGGTATCTGTATTTATTAGGTGACTTCTACTCTTTTACAAAAGCCTATGTACATTCTCTAAACATATATTAAGCTCTCCTCTGTGCAATTTCATCAAACATTCCTATGGCTGATCCTACGTCCCCCATCCCCACACAGTGCCTCCCGTAAGGTGCTCCTGCTGCTCTGCACAGGTACGTGAGAAGTTGGGTGTTTGCAGGGCATGCAAGAGCAGGGCAGACGGCCAACAAGCCTGCATACAGGGCTCGACTTTGTGCCCTGCTCCCCACACCTCCACCACTGAAACAAGCGAGCAGGTACGGCAAACAGGTTAGAAATCCTGATAGCCAGCACACAGTGCGAGCCCTGGTCCTACTAAACCGAACGATTCCTATACCAACATGCATTTTCCTTTTGGTGTTGTGTATGTTCCTTTTTGAGCAAACTCTTAATCTTTTCCATAGTTTTACAAGAAAATAAAGGTTTAGACCTTTTTTCTATGTTGATACTATACATAAACCCTTCTCCCAGAGACTCTAAAGCATAGAACCTAGAAAAGTGCACTCAGCAGGGAAGCTGGTCCAGTGACTTAATGTCACTCTCTGAACAGATGGGACAGGTCAGCTGGGTTCTGTTGTCTAAAGCAAACCTTCGGGGACAGTCTGGAGTTCTCTACCTTTCCTGGGATCGGTTGGTGGTGGTGTATGGATGGAAGGACCGATGACACGTTCACCTGGCCACAGCGTGGATGGCAAATGGTGCCAGAGATCTGCGCTGTGGTCCAGTCACATCCTGGAAAGAAGCGAGCTTACCCAGCTGACTCCAGGTGCTGCTGCTGTCTGACCGCGGCAGGTGGAGAATTCACTGTGCTGCCTCTCGGGAAGGCGCTTCACACAGACCCAAGGAAGACTCCTAGCTGTACCCAACAGTGACAGCAGGATGTCCTCGGCTCAGCTGGGGGCTGAAGTCTGCTGGTGATTTCCGCTGCCAATTGCTTTTTGAGCTTATGCCATCTGGGACCTTCCACGCTAACTGCTCTACCATAGTTCAATTTCGGGCTGGTCTTAAAAACAAAATAAAACAAAAGACATAGAAAAGACACCCAGAGGGCTGCTCTCCCAGCAGCACGTCATGATGCGTAGTGCTCCAACAAGTCAAAGGAAAAGCTGTGAAAAGGCTATTCACAAAGTAGGCATCACTGTCTGCACAAATGCTACTGAATAACACGTAGCTTAGGTGTTAAGTATCAAAAAAAAAAAAAAATCTCAAATGTCCTAATTCAGAAAGCTTATCAAAATGTACCTCCTTTCTAGGTAAAAATGGGCTTGGTTGGTTCAGCTGCTATAGCAGTCCACAGATTTCAGACCTATTCTTTTGAAAGGGAAGAAAACCATTCTAGCTATTTCAGGCTGGACTCTCAGAGCAGAGGAGCACGGTGAGTTGATGTTAATGCCACCAAGGTCCCTGAAGGGCTTTCTCTGGGCCTCCAAGTGTCGGTCAGAAGGAGCTGCTCTATCCAACCCCTGCAGCAGGAGGTGCAGGTGCTGGCTCAGTCGACAAACCTCTGGCAGGCCTTCTTCCAGCGGCAGGCGGTGCACCACATGTCCCGATTCTCCATCCCATACACCTTCCGGCACTTCTTGCCCTCTCCTCGGGGCTTCCTGCAAGACAGGGGGATATGTTCAGCGAGGGGAACCCCATGGGTCTTTTTATGGAGAGCTGGAAAGACCAAGGAAAGCATCAGGGAGTACAGCACCGTCTCTCTGGGTTCAGATGTTAACATGCGCCAGATGCTACCTATGCGTGCCACGGAGCTGGCACGGTGGGCTCGGAAAGCCCTTGAGCTTCTGTTTCCTCCTCTTGGATGGATTCCTTTGGCCATCTCCAAAAATCAGTGAATCTAAGAACTGGCAGTGAGAGCAGCTTCGCTCTTTTTAAAGTTTTCAGGGATGCACTTCCCAGGGCTCCCTGTTCTCCTGTTTCTAGAGTTGTGCTTAGGGACTTCCTGGGAGGTCCCCCGATCTGGAAGAGCATCTGTGCCTCGTGGTCCCTGCCACACAGAAGTTAATGCGGCCAGCACAGTTATTCTGCACGGCAGCTCGCTGTAAGTCCCCCCGCCCCAAGTCACACCATCAACGCAAGAGAAAGGGAGCTTTGCCGATTGTGGGTAAATCTGAGGGAAGATGGCGTAATTTCTGGAAAGGAGCAAGTTTCTCACACACATACCTCAGGCTGACAGCCCCTCTGGGTGGGGAGGACAGGACAGTGTGGGCATGTTGTCTCTGCTCGCCAGGGCCCGCTGGGTGATGATGGTGCGTTGGTGATACCTGGTAAAGACATGGAGTCAGGCTGGCAGGGCAGGTTCTGTGCCCTGGGCGTTTGGTTGCCTCTGCTGTGCGGGCAGCAGTCCTTGAAGATCAGACAGGAAGATGAAATGCTGTCCCACAGAGACACATGTTACATAAAGGAGGGACACCAGGGCAGAATTCCAACAGCTCTCCTGGGGAAAAGAGCCCTTCAGCAACAGTGGGAGAGGAAACCAGGGCAACCACTGTGGAAATCCGTCTGCAGCTTCCTCAAAAAACAAAACAGAGGGCCGGGGAGATAGCTCAGTAGAAAAAGCGCTTGCCTGGCAAGCTCAGAGTCCCGAGTTCAATCCCTGGTACCACAAAGAAGCAAAAGCAAAAACCAAAACCAAAAAACAAACAAAACAGAAATTCCATTTCACTCAGCTATTCCTCTTGTAGATATCTTCTTCCCCAAACAGTAAAGGCATCACGCTACAGTGATCCCTTCCCACCCTACTTATAGCAGTGCACCTCTCAATAGCTACCAATAAAACACCGTGGACTCGGCCCATATATCAGCAGAGGAATAGGGAAAGCAAATGTGGTTTTTGTAACTGTGGAGTACTACTCTGCCATTAAGAAGGACCAACTTGAGTCCTTTGTAGGAAAATGGATGCCCCAGGAGATCATAAATATCACATCGTTTCTTTAATATGAGAAATTCATTATATAAATAAAGTTCAAAATAAGAAAAAGTTACTGAAACCCAGCATGGACACTGTGAAAGTGTACCCTGATTTACGATACCCATCTTGCATATTTTATATTTGTTTTTGACCTGTGAGCCTGACTGTTAATCCATATGTATGATAATTAACTTTAAGGACTTTAAGGTAAATGAGTGTTGTAGTGGTAAATAAAAGGTGGTGGTTGGAGGGGGAAAAAGAATTGAAATGTGTACATGTTAGTAGTTCCCCTCACTGATGTAATTACGTTCTGTAAAGATCTACCAATAAAACACATGTTTATCCCATGAAGTGTTGGAAAAGAAGAAACAGACAAAAAGAATTAAAATGTATCTTCAAACAGAAAGACACACCCAGAAGTAATACCTTAAAAATCGGAGAAGTAATATCTTAAAAATCGGGACTTAATGTCTACATGTTCCAAGTGGCTCATCATGATATTTTCACTGGGGTAATACTGTCAGCCCTAGAGTATATTCCTGTCTGCTTAATCCTCATGAACCTTGTCAGGCAAGCTTCAGGACTTCCCATCTTGAAGATGAGAAGTATCTAGCGCAGTTACCCGATTTTCCGAACATTACGCAGCCAGACAGTGGCACCACCACACACCCCTCTGCTCTCTGTTTGCTCCGTCACAAGCCAGGCAGAGCAACAGCAGCTTTCAGCATCAAGATGAACTTGTGATGTGTAATTGGCTCCTCTTTAGGAGTTAAGGAAAGAAAGGTGCGGTGGGCATGTGTGGATGACTCATCTAAGTTGGTCCAAGAATGTGCAGAGGCAGAGGCAGCCAGGTTGTGCTGCAGCCGTCCCTGACTTTGGGCTAGACCTGAGCAAGGGAAGAAGGCCCCTGCTGCTCCTGGCACTCTTGGATTACACAAGTCTGGCTGTATCGCCTGCTCTCACAGCCCTAAATACTTCCCAGATCATGAACCTTTTTTTTTTTTTTTTTTTAATGAGCCTCTTGAAAGCTACAAAAAACTAATCTTCATAAAAGAAACTGAATTTCAGGAAGTAACAGTTTTTCTATGTACAGAAGCAGAGCTATTTAATACATCTAAAAGCCGAGTCACCTAGGAAGCGACACGGCCACAGAAGCGCCAACATGGAGGTGCACAGCACAGTTACAGAACTGATTTTCTCTTCTATGGATGCTAGTACTTTCTCCAGACATTAATTTAAAAAAACATTCAGGCCTCAAACCCCCTAATATTTAAGTGATTGTTGGCATGACTGAATCATTCTGTACCACTGATTTTTTTCTTCAATCTAAAGCTGGGTGAAGGAAGAGCCAACAGATGGACATACGGGCTTTAAAAATGCAGAAGCCTGGACTGGGGAGATAGCTTAGAGGTCTAAAAACCTGCCTGGCAAGCACAAGGTCCTGGGTTTGATCCCCAGTATAGCATGCTGTGCTGGCTCCAGAACCCTGGGAGCATTGTGCTGGCTAGCGAAACGGGGCGTGGTGATGTACGCCTGCAATCCCAGTGCTGGGGAGGCTGAGACAGGAGGATCACTATGAGTCTGAGCTGTGTAGGGAGACCCTGTACCAACTCTTTTTGAATAGGAAACCCTCCCATCCCTTCCTATAATATACTTGGTTTTCTATAAGATGCAAAACACAGAGATTTTATGGCTTGCATGTCCATGACCACTGTGGATGGTCCAGCATGTATTCATATGAGCTGTTCTAAATTGTCAGGACAGTACAAACTTAAAGATTACTAAAATTCCAAGGACATCAGGTGAACTTCTAGAGAACTGGGATAAAGCTCAGTTGAGGGGACAGTGCTACTACTTCCATGGGCCGAGGAGAATGGGATGGGTGTAGATTTTGCAAAGCTATCAGCGTCCTTTTGGTTGAGTGTTAGGACCCTCATCAGGTGCTCTTCATCTTGCATGAAGTACTGTCAGGGACTGATTTCAGAATCTCTGTTGATGCCCACATCCACAGACTGTCAAGTCACTCATGTAAAATGGCATGGTGGGATGGGGGATATAGCTCAGTGGCAGAGTGCTTGCCTGGTGTATATAAGTCCCGAGTTTGATATATGCATGACATCTGCATGGACTCTATGCAAATGCTACAGCTGCAAATATTACATATCCTCTCATATACTTTAAATTATCTCTAGATTACAGAACCTAATACCAAGTCATAAACTGTGTCCTCTACTGTCTGGAGAATGATGGCGAGAAGAATCTGTGTATGTTCAGTACAGATGTAATTTAAAAATACTTCTCATGTGTGGGTGGTTGGATCTGCAGACATGGAACCGCAGAGAGGGCAGGCGCTGCCCTAGAGCACATAGCACAGCAGTGGGCAGGATGGTCTCTGCCCTCATGAGGCTTCCATTCTAGCAGGGAGACAGGACTACAAAACCAAGATCGTTTGAGCAAGTCCTGAAGAGTCAGATAGGCTAACAGGCCAATGTACAAGTGAAGGCGAGGACCTTGTCAATGGTGGTCCAGGCGGCCTCTGAGGGGTTCCTTGCCCTCCCACAGAATGAATACGTGGGTCTCCAAGGTGCTGCAGGTATGGTGGGGGATGTAGATTTGGGTTATGACTCGGAGCTTGGAAAAGGGTGTTATTCTCAGTGGAAGGAGAAGCCACTGGAGGGCTTTAAGAAAGGTACAGTGTCTGAATTCATGCTTTGAAAATGTCACGCTGGCTCTGGGGAATGGATATGAGACAGCCTGATGAGGAGTTTCACAGATGAGGAAAGAGGATTTTGGAGCATCCAGAAAATGTAGAGCAGCAGTGTAGGTGTGGTGGCAGTGCAGAGGATCTGTCCTTTGGAGCCTAGGACCTGCAGATGCGTGGGATGCGGGACAAAGAAAATGGAGCTGGATAGTTAGATCAGGACTGACTCAAGAGCAGACAAAGATGCATGCTAGGTTCTCCTAGGTCCACAGCGGATAACTCACGGCACACGTGTGCAGCACGCTGTTAGCATTGAAAGCTCTGAGAGGTCCCCATTGCCATCCTAGGTTCTGGCCCAGGAGCTGGGGGTGGGGACAGCAGGGCCACTTCCTGAGATGGGAAGCTGGTGCAGCGGGGAGGCGGGGGCACGGGCTTCTGCAGATCACATCAGCATAGTTCGAGGAGGATGGTCCAGCTGTGGGCCTGGTCCTCCGCGCCACCCTCACTCCTGCCTGGGGTGCACTTCACTGGGGGCTCCTCCCCCTTCCACAGCAGGTTTGGGTTTCTACACGGTGCAGTGCAGTGAGACCCGCTTCATGTTGGGTACTGCCACCACACACTCAACATGATCTAACTTGAGCATTTTTCTCAAGACTTTTATAGTTACAAAATTGTGTTTTGGCTTCTTATTTTATGGGAGAATAAAGGTGGGAACCAAAGGTGACTGATGTGGGGAACTAACATTTCAAAGCATGCAAATGTGAAAGATGGCCTGCTAAGGATTTATTGCTTAAATTTTTGCCTTCTTCCCTTCCCTCACTCCTTCTCACCCACTGTGAATCAAAACCCAAGCCTTGGACATATGCCTACCACTGGGCTAAACTCCCAGCCCCTTCCAGTTTCAACCTCACAATGACCCTACGAGCAAAACTATATTATCCTCACTATAGAGATGAGAAAAATGGAGAAGTTAGGTGTATTGTTGAGGTCACACAGTTATTCAATGGGGGACCTAGGACTTGAATCTCATTGTCCACATAGTCTTAGAACTCTCTTCTCAATATAATGTGGATACAAGGCCCTGCTCTTGGGACTCTTCTGTACTGCCATATAACTGACAGAAACAATACGTCCCTATTGGCACAAGCAACAAAGGAAAAGTAGACAAATGGGATTATGTCAAATGGGCAGACTCCTACAGTGTGAAGGAGAAACAGGATTAAAATAACTTACACAGAATGGGAGGAAATATAAACTATTCCTCTGACAAAAGGATTCATATCTACAGTTATATAAGGAACTAAAAAATGGGAATATGCCCCAATCTAATTGAAAAATAGGCTAAAGAACTAACCAGATACTTCTCAAAGAAGACACAAATGGCCGACACATACATGAAAAAGCACTCAGCCTTACCAATCACCAGGGAAATGCAAATAAAAACCACAATGAAGGCTGGCCAAATAGCTCAGCGAATTAAAGCACCTGCAAGCAGGCACCGGGGCCGCAGGTTCAATCCCTGGACCTGCCATGCCGGTCCTGCCCCCGGGGCACGCTGAGACAGCAATTAAGACTGGGCATGGTGGTGCGTGCCTGTAATCCCAGCTCTTGGGAGGCTGTAAACAGGCAGATCACTATGAGTCCGATCTAGT